CTTATTACCTTTTTTGAGCTTTACGATCGGCGAAATTATAATAATTTCTTTACTTGTATGCTTGATCAAAGCTTAAACAACCGATTTTTAATCTTTTTCAGACGGAATGAATAAAATTAAATGCTGTTAAATACCATGGATAATAAATGCGAGCTTAACACACTACTTTTTACACTTTCACGGCAATTTTTCTATTAAACACAAACATTTATTTAAAATGTTGGATAGCAACTTTTTTATCGGCGTGAAGATGTAGCTTATGTGATTTTCGATTATCCTCGTAAATTGCAGGAAACCGTTACTGCTTTTGATATTGATAAATTTAATTTACAAAGGCTTGAAAAGCTTTAATACACTTATTTATTATTTACTTTTTTCTTTATACAGATGCGGTTGATAAAATAGCTCATAACACTACACTTATTGTTTGTTTACAATTGATCCAGTGATATATATATATATGTACTTATTTACACATAATTATTTTACAAATGCTTTTTCTCGACTTAAACTCAATTGAGATCCTTTTTTCAGCTCACCATACACAATTACAAAAAGCGACAACACATGTACACTGAAAGTAGAAGATAATACCGAAATCATATATGTAAGTCTGGTTATCTTTAAATATACACACGTAATATTATTTACAATAAGAAAGGCAGTAATAAGAATTTCCATATCCTTAAAAACATGTTATTGGTGTATAATTAATATATGTATATATTTTTTTAATACCAACCTAAACCACACACTAACAACACAGTTTTTTGTGCAATTGTATATACAGCTATTGTCAAAATAATAAGAGTTCAAATTGACTTCATAGGTAATATAGAAACAAATACTTGTAAAGGTGATTTAATTTTTTTGAGTCTATTTCTCTATTTTACATTGATAAGTAATGAAAAAGATATACATAAATAAAAAACGACAACATCATTTTATAAGCATTCAAAAGGGAATTTTTGCAAAATACTTTGTGTGTTGACGATAATTTATTAAAATACAAAAGCGAAATTGATAAATATAAATATAAATGTAAGTTTTAATAATTATATTAATTTATGAGGTATGAATTGTTTAAAATTATTTTAAATTATAATGCATATATTTTTTACTACTATCAGCTATTCCTTGTAAAACTAAAAATTTCTACCCAATAATATATACGATCTCTTTATATGACACAAACACCTACGGGCACAATAAATAACAAAAACCAAACGTGAAGTAACATCAAACTGCGCAAGGAGTCAAAGTAAAAAAAATACGCAACGACCATAATGAAGAGTGTACGAGAAGTACCACTACAAAATACAGGGAAACAAATAGTAGAAAACATGCAAGATAGAGAGGATTCCAGAAAGTAATATGTTAGGATGTGTGTGTCTATACAGAGCCAAAATTGAAGTTAACCAAAGGCACGAGAACGAAAATAGGAGAAGAATATTTGTTGTAAAGGCAAAAATACTGCTGCAGCAGCCGGCTTTAACACTGATAGCATTCGGTGAGTGCCGCTAAAAAATCAATCGAACAAACTGAAATTCTCGTAGAGACGGCACCAATAGACAACAAACTTAAATGACATACAGGACTTGTCGGTGTTGAGGCGGTTTCCTATCACTTGTTATTATTTCATGCTTTAGTCGCAGAAATGGGGATACGAGAGTTTCTGACCAAGTCAAATACGAGCGTATATACATACATACATATGTATTATATACATGCACATAAGTCGAAATCGAAAAAGAATCCGTGAACGAACGAACCATAGCCTGTAAGCACAAATGTTACTTGCAAACGAGTAATAATTTATGTGTGAATAGAGATACAAGCGGGATAATGATCTCTTAAATCAATGGAGTGAATATATAACATAAAACTTTTGTTTAACTTGTATTATCTATTGTAAGGCACATTGTATTTGCATTAAATATTTATTAATTTGACAATATCTAAGTCAATTTACTTTAAATCTCTACTTATTCAAGATTTAGTCGATACTTTTATATAAAATGTTTGTAATTTTTTTTTTTATAATGCTGTTACATATATAACATTTTTGTAATTTTACCTTATTTCTTTATATGCATGGCTTAACGCTCATTGCTGTTTGAGCAAAGGATTTGGGAAGGCATATATATGAGACTTTGCGAGTGTATGGGTACATTCAAATTCATCCACTTTAGAGGCAATCGCCCGTGTATTGCTGGTGTTCGGTTCAACCGCGTGTTGTTTGCTCGTTATTTCGCAATTTGTAATTACAAATATATACCCTTCAAATTCTTAAAATTAATACACAAAACTTTCTAGCACAAATGTGTAAATAATTTACTTTCGGGTTTTACATATATTCTTAATTCTTTGTCTTGATCTTGTTATTTGATTTTTGTTTATATACAATAACTAACTCACACGAAATACTACTGTTGATAAATTTGCACTTGACGTAGAAATTACAAGAAATTATAAACGCTCGTTATTCTGTTTGCAGTCCGGGTATGGCAATGACATATAAGAACGAGCGCGACTGACAATGCAACGAAGCGGCATTTATTCTTCCTGTATCTTTGCTTCTTATTTATTATCTTAACTTATATTTACACTTTTTAAAAAATTTACACACAACACATATAGCAATTAATTAATTTAATTTCTGATAAAAAAAAAAACTATTAATTGCGATGATTATTAAATTTTTAGGCGATTTTGCATTTATTACAAATTATTTACACAGGATGAAATTGAACTCGTCGCGAGAACACACACAAATTGTTTCTGTTTCACTTTGTCTTTGGAGGTGCGTTTCATTGCGACAGCAGAAAGCAGTGTTGCGGTCGTGGTTCACTCATTCGTTGTTTTGTTCGCTCGTTTTTTCCACTAACTAGCTTCGGCAGTTATAATACATTTCTCACTTTTATTGAAATTCCTTTTTGTGCGCTCAATTCTCTCTCTTTTTTTTTACATACACTTTTCGCATTATCCTCAACTCGCTCGAATCAGCCCAACATTGGGAAATATGAAAATATATATATTATATATTTGTATGTAATATCTACAAAATATATTACCACGCCTATAAAATACTTAGCATTATGACATCAAATAAATAAAAGGTCAACTACTTTATAACTATCTTTCTTATAGATCATTAGGCAGGAATAGTTGGAGAATTTCAGTGTACTCGCCCATTTAATATGGTTTGCTCGCTTTTTCTACTATGTCGCTCGCTCTTTTTCCTTATTTCGTTCTTGGGTTATAGGAATATGCTCAATCTTCTCATTTGCCTTTCCTTGAGTTGCTTTTAGTGCTTATTATTGTTGTTGTCAAGCGTACACAACACTAATAAAATAAGCGGACATATGTATGAGACAAACACAACAAACACAAATTTTGTTAAACACCGACAAATTTGAAAACAAATAAAATAAAAATAGGAAATAAAAACTTAAATTGTGGTGTTCGTTGTGAAAGTAATGTAATACTTTAATATTAGTTAGCATATGCATATGTATTTTTACAGTAATTAAAACACAAATCTAAATTTTAAACATTAATTTCTACATTTTACAGAAAATTGTAAATGATTTCATTTTTATATTGTTTTAATTACGTTTTATTCAACAAATTATTTATAAATATGCGACCACATTTTATTTGAAAATGTATTTTACACTGTAACCGTACTTACCATTTAGTTTAGCTGTCCTTCCAATTCATGTGTTTTCTTTTGTATTTATTGACAATAGGGCTATCGTTTGAACATACAAGCGACACAAGATCAAACAAACATTACGATGACGAATTTAAAAGCACACTTATGTTTCAAGTTTAAGTTATTATGGAATATTTTAAAATTCACTTCACTTGAGCTTAGATACTGCAGATTGTGTTTTTTTTCACCTTTTACTGTATTATACGTTCTTACAGTTATGTTCGCGGAATTTGCGGATAAAGTTTCCAATGCTTGTTCCTGGTATTTGCTTTAACATATATTTAATTTTTACTTTCTTCTTTTTATTTATTTTTAGTTATTCAATTTTCAGGAGACTTCTCAAATCAAATTTTCATAAATTACATTACATTTATGATAATTATTTTCGGCATTTTAGATATGGTCTTTACTTATACTTCAGTTCTTATTGATATTTGCAAAGAAACGCGAAGAGAGCGACAGCAACAACACATTGCTTGCTGCTAGTACTGAGTATACAAACAACATAACACTCACGACGTACAGAAAATTACAAATTCAACAAAGTTGTTGTACATATTCTTATACAATTTATACACAATTATTAATTACTGTATCAGTGAATAGTGAAATATTTGTAGGAATACACAATGATAATACTTTACTATACAAGAATTTTCCGCAGCGGCGTGAAAAGTTCTACTCGTGTTGCGAAAATTCTTTACTACCCAATTTGCAAACACTCTGTGTTTCTTTGTTTGGTAGTGCTGCCAGCCCGGTGTATTGCTGTCTTTGTTGGAAAGCAATGGTTAAATGGCTTTTTTAAATGCTGCCAGACCCGTTATCCATGTGGCAGCGAAATGTTTATTTCAAGCTAGTTGTACTCAAAAATTCATAATACTCTGAACAGGTCTGTTCCCATTTGAACGTGTCTGTATATACGCTAACTAATCCTGAGTTTGAGATATCTATACGAAACCTTTCACAAGCCTTTTTCTCCTCAAAAAAAGAGGATATTGGAATCACCAATGCATATAGCTAACAAGATAGCTTCATGGTGTACAAATGTATTTGGAATCAAATCATGATTTCAGTAAATAAAAAATCACACCTTCAAGCGTTCTAAAAATTAAGGAAAACTTATATCAATATGATTTTTGTCTTTCGCAACATTACTGAAATAGAAGTAGCAGTAAAAAAATCAATTAGTTTTATACACGGTAATAAACTTGTTAAATATTCAAACAAATTTGCATACATATAGAAAATTAAATGAATACAATTTATGAAAAGTATTTCTACATAAAATTATATATTGGAGCAATCGTAAAATTATTTTTCTATGGGTTTCTCGTCAACAACTATTTCACCGCTTTGTGAGGTTTTATTCTCGATCCTAGGACGCCCTCGCGGTTTTCCCGTTGGTTTATAGGGAACTCCACCCTTGCTGGGTCTTCCACGTTTCTTAATAGGTTGATTATCGCCAGTTTGTGTGACTTTCAGTGTAACGTTCGTTTTCGATTGCAATTTCTTTGGACGTCCTTGCCCTCGACCAGTGCGCACAATATTTAAATTTACAGCGCCTGTAGAGGGTCTTCCCACTGGGCGACGTTCTTCAAAATCGGGTTTTTCATCACAATATGCTGCAGAAAATGCAAACAAATATTGTAATATGCGAGTATATAGCTTACAAATATCTGTACTTACAATTTTCACTGTCGCTACGTGGTTTCTGCTTTCTCGGCCGACCACGTCGTTCAATACGACCAATTGACTTTACTTGACGGCTTTCTAAGGTTTTCTTCACAACTTTTCTATTTGTGACAATATCATCATTCAATTCCGCTGACAGATTTGAAATTTTCGGTCGACCACGTCCTCTACCAGTTGCAATGATTGGATGTGTAGTTTTCAATTTGCCTATTTTTCGCGGCCTTCCTCTGCGTGGCGCCATTTTGTCAACAACAGTTCCTGCATTGTTGTCGGTATTTACCAAGTTGATTTGTTGATTTTTGGCAGTACCCCGTTGCATTTTATTTGATATTATTGTAAGTTTAACAGACGTAAATTTATTTAAAAAATAATATACTCTTTAAATTCAACTGCAAACTCGTTTCAAATAAACATTTTAGTTATGCTCGAAGTCTAATTTACATTACTTATTTTTGGTGAAGCAGTGGCATTTCGCCGGTAATTTTGCTATCATATGCTCGAATTAAGAAAAGTGATGCCACCATTTAAAAACATAGCCAATATTTTAGTATTGTCATTTCGTAACCAACAGAGGACGTGAACGTATATTAATATATGTATGTATGTATATGTAGATGTTTCCTCTTAATAATAGTTGTTGAAAGAGGTAAACTCACTTTCTTGTTTTTCAAATTTAATAATTTTTTTTCTCGTTTTCTGACTACTCCATATCATCATTGCCAAATCTTATCAACTTCTTTAGCTAGTTGGGTTATCTATGTAGTTGGCGACCTGATTTTCATGATGTCGTCACGATCTGTCAAAATCACATCATCCTTATTGGTAGACTCTGTATACATAATATTTAAGTATTTTCTTTGCAATTATAGTAAATTACACGAAACTCGGATTTATTTTATTTCGACCTTTTATTTCTTATGGAAAATCTAAAACAAAATCTTCCTGTAGCCATTTTATTGATTAAAAAAAAAACGTCGATTAGGCACTAGATTATCTATTCATGGAACAAATTAGTCATGTCACAGCAATCAGCCTCAGTTGGAACTAGATAAAAAAAAAAGCCTTAATTTTTCAAATATATATATATTTTTTTTACATTTCAAAAAGTTAAGTCGAAACCTGGCCAAATTACGCTGTTTTTACTAATATTAAATAATTGTATTTCTATAAATTTGTAGTACTTTTTTTAGTTGTACAAAACTTCAAAACTTTATTTAAAACGGCTATATTTCACTTTTAAAATCGAGTTCTTTTTGTTTACTAAATTATGGAAATATATTAAATTAGAAGAAAATTTAAATATTCTGGAATTAAAAAATATATAAATTTCAAACCGCATTAAAACAGAAAGCATCAGTCTCTCATTTCTGAACTATGGTTTATTTTAGTGATGGTTCTTAATATACGCGAATACGACCTAGTAATGAGTTGCAAAATTGCAATGTTATGGGTATATAATTTTATTATGGTCATATACTAATACATAATTTCATCAAATTTAAATTAGTGCCGATCCAACCATAAAATACCGCTCATTTTACATAAATTTCCAATTATACTGATTTATAAGAGTATATTGAAGAATTTCTTTTCTCCAACGACTTACATGTACAAATACTTGCCAATAACTGAACTGTACTGAAAACATTTCAAACTTATTACTATTGTTATTCTTGTTTAATAAATGCATATGAAGAGATGTATATTATTTTTTTTTTGTATGTGTGTAATGATCAGCTTAATGTATCTACAGAATATTTTTTCATTTCCTGTAATTTTACTCTACGAAACGCCGTATCGGCTTTAAGCAGCAGATTCTTCACCATCTGCCAAATCATCCTCTTCGTTGCTATTTGCACCCGTGTCCTCTTCAGTATCATCTTTGTTTTTGGATTTCTTGTGATCATCTTCTGAGGAATCCATATCATCATTGTCTTCCTTATCTTGCGAATCATCGGCGGAATCGATTTCTTTAGCCGGTTTACGACCCGGCCTACCTGGTGTCGATTTTTTAGAACCTGCAGGGCGACCCCGTTTTTTCGGTACACCTCCATTAGCGGCAGCCGTTGCTGGACGTTTCGCAGCAACTGCTGCTACTTTTTTACCACGACCGCGTGCAGGAACGCGTTTGTCCTCACCGGATTCTATATATACGCATATATAAAAAATATTAACATTTTATATTCTATAAATATATCATGCTTTTTGTTTTATATACTTGATATTAATATACACACCTTCATCCTCATCTTCGCTCACGGCTTTTTTTGGTCTACCAACTTTCTTCGGTGACTTTGGCTTACGACCGGGTTTTTTGCCGCTTCGTTTGTAATCACTCTGCTCATCTTCTTCATCGTCGTCTTCTTCGACTACATCGTCATCGTCTTCTTCGGATGCTTGCGGCTGCTTCTTTGGTCGTCCACGACCTTTTCCTTGTGTAGTGCCAACAGATTTCGAAGGACGTCCACGACCGCCATTTGCGGCTACCGGCGCATCATCTTCGGAAACCGGTTCACCGACACTCTTTTTGCCGCTCGAATTCTTAGCTGGTCTACCACGACCGCGACCAGTTGGCGTCTTCTTCACTTTATCTGGATTGGAGGGACGTCCGCGCTTTTTCGGAATGGTAGTACTGCTATTATTCCCAGTTGATACAATTGCACCTTCATCTCCACTTTCAACTTCGTCATGGACACGCTTCTTTACATCTTCCATTTTTTCAATATAATTTGCCTTTCTTCCTTTTGTTCTATTCGCTTTGCGAACGCCGCTGTTCTATTGTGTATGTATGCGTGCGTGACTGATTTTTCAACGCGAATAACTGCTCTCAACAATATTTTAGCTATTTTGCATTCAATTATTTAATTGCACAAATCGAACACGATTATAGTTTATTACCAATTTACCACAAGTTGCGATGCACACACAATTTAAATATATTTTTTGTAACTTTTATGCAATTTCCATTAATTAGTGGATTACACGAAGCTTGGCGTCGGTTCTATTTGTTACCTTTTTCAAAATGAGCACAGAAATGAAACTACAATGAAAAAAGGGGTTGGTGCAAGTACTGGCATCAGGGTTCACCGCGCAACGCGCGAAAACAAAAAGGGAACGGAAGAAAATTGTTTTGGCAGTATGTGCGTGTGCTTTTCTTTGACAAATTATGTGAAATTTTCGCATATTTCCAATATTAGCAGTTGTAACAAATTTATTAATGAAGAAACTCTATTAATTGCTAAAAATTTTATGTTTTTTTGATTACAACACTTTTTAGTACCCGTGTTGCAATTTTTTGCAAAGGGAACACTTTGAAAAACTGTTAATTCAAAAAAATGAGCAAAGTGTTGCCCTTCAAAGCTTGGCTATCTCAACGGCTGTGCATTATATGAAGCTGATTTGTTAAAGATAAAATGGTGTATAAAAAAATGTATTATCTATTAAAATTCTTCGCTGAAACGCATCGAAAATATTGCATAAATTAAACAAAGAAACATTCATCTTATCTTCATTACATCAATTCATTTTCGACTTTCAGATATAGATGGCGCTGTTAACCACTATTTGCAAACGGTTTAGAAGCATTGTATTTTTCGCGCTACTTTTATTTTAAATGTCATTTTGTAAAATAATATACAGATACATTTGGTACATATTAATATTATTTAAAGTAATATAAATATTAGAAAAAAAAACTTTATTCCCGTTGTGCTGAAGCTATGTATAATAGCCTTCTCGATTAAAAAAATAATTTATATGGCATCTAAATGCTATAGTGGCTCGATCTGTAAATTTTGAAATAATACAGGCATATTTCAGCAACTTAATGTTGATCGACCAGCTTATTTTAGATATTTTAAAAGCTGTGATATACAGATAGACAGAGGGACAAAGTTAAATTGACTCAGTTCGTCGGTGGTCATCGCTAAATTGGTCCAATATCTACGAAATTTCCGATCGATATCTTAAAAACTGATATGTACAAATATACAGATGGGCAAAGCTGACTCAGTTCATCACGGTAGTCGTTAATAAATACATATATTTATAATTATATATGTCTACTTGTATATATACGGCTTTCGGCTTTTCCTTCTAATTACAAAATTTGTGGCAACTTAATAATACTGAAGCAGCATTGGGATAAAATCCGTTAGAATAAATGTATGTAGATTAATCTGTATTTATAATTATGTATTATTAATATTTAAAAACGCTTCCAAACGCCAGTTGCCTATTGAGAGGTGACGGCAGATTTTTGGATTTTAGCCGAAAACTAAGAAAATCTAGAATTAAGATTCTGGCCAGCGGTATCGCTTACAACTTTACTTACTCATTTACTTTAATA